ATTTGCCTGCAAAAGGTTTGGAGATTTCTGAAGGCTAACAATCAAGAAGTCATTAGTAAGGCTCAATACAAATTCTTTACACACATTCAAGTTCCACATTGTTTGTATATTTATTTGCACAACAATAAAGTACATAGTACAATAATTTGCCTGCAAAAGGTTGGGGATTTCTGGAGGCTAACAATCAAGAAATCATTAGTAAGGCTCAATACAAATTCTTTACACACATTCAAGTTCCACATTGTTTGTTTATTTCTTTGCACTACAAGAAAGTACATTGTACAATAAACAATAGATAAAAGCAGATGCAGGAGAAAAGTAAACCATATTTAACTTTTACTAGGCCCTCCTCTATACTAATCAAAATTGATAAAGATCTGAAGTAATGTATAGAATGTCATAACAATGCAATAAGGATAATCAAATAATTAATGGTACCAATTAATATAAGAACATAAGAGTCTACAGGGCTAGGAAGGCATATGAGATAGGTTTTGATGGCACTTTTAGATGTCAAAAAAGAGGATATTGTTTGTATATTTGGTTGAAGACTGTTCCATATTGTAACACATTTGCAGTTTACAGAGCACTGTGCTAATGATATGTAGAAGAGAGGAAGTTTTTAGGAACAAAACTTGTGATTTCAGTAATCTCCCAAAAATATGTTTGATTAGAAAAAATGTAAATGCAAAATATACTAATAACTAATTGTATAACATATTTGAGTAATCTTTCTTTAAACTTTAGTGTTATACTTGCAGTTATAGTCATAAGATATATAATGTCTCTATTTAGTGTCTCTTTGTATAGGGCATACATGACTTGTATATGGTTGTGATTAGGAAGCTGTTGCCTGTTGAAAGATTGTTTGCCCACTTTGATCAGTCATGGTTCAGTCAGAACCAATTTCCTCACAGATCACCACTAATCCCCAATAACAGTTAGCACCGGTTGGTACATGGTCCGCTGCTCTCCACCAATCAGCAACCAGTAGTATCCACGCGAAGGCTCCGTTTTACGTGCTATTAAAGAATATTACCGGCGCTGGGCGATGAGATAAAGTTCTGAAATTAATCTTAATGTGCCTCTGAGCTGAAGAAATGTGGCTATAACATCCTTTTAAGATGGAATTAAGAGCTTAAAGTAGGTCCTTAAAAGTCTGCACCAAATTGCTGTCGTTCTTCAATCTGGGCTGCTATTGTTTCAACAAGCTGAGAGAGTCTCTGGGATTAAATGTTTTGTGGGACCAACATAAAAAGTGGTATCTACATCAGAAGTGATGGAAAGGTGCAAGGCCAGAATTTGAATTTTCTGTCCTTTCTATCAATTACTTCCAATGACTAGACTGTTTTTTTTGTGTGTTTGTAAAAGTGTGTGTTTCATCATCATCTTTGTTGTCACAGTTTATAAAAACATCATGTAGACTGACTGTGTTTGTTCTTCTTCCCTCTCTTTACTTTTCTATAAAGCCACACCAACTTAATTGCTTGTTTCTCAGAGTTTTAAAGAATATTTTACTAAGTAACTAAGAAAATCAACAAAGCCTGCTCAGGACCAGGTTTATATCTTTGTGCTTTCAATGGAGTGAATATACAGTCTTGTTCAAGTTTTTCTTCCTTCCCTCTACTTAGATGATGTCAGCTTGCTGTATTTTTACTTAAAAATGTCCAAGATTAAAGGAAATAAATTGGTGTGGCCTAAGGCAGACACACAATCATGTGATGACACATGGACTGACTGACGTGATGATTTGGAGGAACAGGACCTGACAACGTTCTCGAGCAAAGTTTCTAGTCAACACAGCAATGATGTTTGTGTATTCATGAGACCTGACAGCAGTTCATTTTGTCTCAGGCCATCTGGGATTTGGATCTAATAAAAGAATTAATACTTTATACCACAGCCATTAAAGTTATTCCCAGTGTACCAGCTGCCAGAGTGTACATTTTCATACAAAGTGGAGATAAGCCGGGGGAGGGGTGGGATCTCCAGCTATCAGTTCATCATTTGTCCATATCTTAAACCGAATCAACTGCTGTACAGAAACCATGATAGCAGTTAATTTCAAGGGAATACTCAGGGGTCCTTTTCACTGCCAAAACAACCATTTGGTGTTTAAGTGCAGGTACATTGTAGAAGCCCTGGGGGAGGGAAGATGTGTCCACAGCTCATGGAACCACATAAGGCTGCCCTTTCATCAGATGAAAAATTGATTACTACCTGTCACTCCCTTTGCAGCTTTGTTAATGACGAAGACTCCTGCAGAAATGAACTTTGCGGAAGGTCTCGTGATGCCCCCGGTTGTAAATCCTGTAGTCTTACCACACCGTGCTGATGTATGCATTTCAATTCACTAGATCCTCTGGCACTGCCCAGCCTTGATCCTTCTCTTTCATCTATATAAGATATTAGAGGCTTCCGTATGAAGGACATTATTCTCACCTTACCAAGAAAGTTTTGTTTGTAGATAATTGATGATAGGGATAAGACTGAACTGATTGAATGACGCAAATGGAGAATATGGAACACAGACGGGCGTGCCAGGATCTGAACTTGTGACTTTGTAGTCCAGAAGGAGGATTACAAATCACTACACCAAGGCACATTTTCTGTACAAGCATTAACAAGAGTCTGAAAATGATTAATTGCACTGTGTTTGACGATCATCTGTTGGCTCTAAACTCAATTAAAAGCTTTTAATGTACAGTATGAGACCTTGGGTTTGATGGTTTTCCCTGGAGCTAAAAACAGGGTACCGTAACACATCAAGCAACTTTGCATCCTAATGTACAGATCTGAAGGCCTCCATGATTTAGTGTTGCCATAAGCACAAGACTGCATTTAGCAGATGAAGCTACTGACAGCTAGGATTCTGTGGGTATTGAGACAAGAAGAACTTAAGGCTTAGGGATTACAGCGTATCCTCCAGAGCCCTACAGAAAGATGAATGGACCAGGCGTACCTTGTGCAGCAATGTGGATCCTTTTAGTGCTACATTAAAGTCATGTGTGCCATGTGCACT